TGAGTGAGTCACGAAAAAGGCAAGTAAGAGATGGGGAACTCACGGGATGAGAGGTGGGATGGGTGATGAGAGAGAGGGAAGAAGCGGAGGTGGGGATGGGACGTAGGGGAGAGAGGGGAGAACGGAAAAAAGCAGGGGGGGGGGAGAAAAAGTAAGGCAGAAAAAAGAAGAAGAAGAATATTTTCATACCCCCATTCACACAAGAGGCATTTACTAGGAGGTTGACTTCGACTCTGCCTGTCTTGAAAAAGCCGGTGTCGTAGAATATTTTGGAACCAGGATAAATCGGAACTGGTTCCCAAAAATCCTAGGGTATTTTGGAACCATTCCCATTTATCCTGCACCTGACGGCAGGATATTTGGGAACCACCGTCATCCCTGTGTGATACGCAGTGTCTCACGCTTCACAATCAAAGGAAACAGACAAATGAATAAAATTAAACATTTTTATTGACAACTTTCAAACCCAAAATCATTACATTATTTAAATGCTACGTGAAAACATAGATCTAGAACCAGAAAACAAAATGACACAATCTTTGGCAGCTTTATATGTGTACATTTGGCTCACAGGCTTCAACAAAAAACTTGGCAATGTAACTTCCCAGTACACACTTCAAAATTTCAAAAGCATCAAAATAAAAGTTGTTTTGTTTTTTTAAAGAGAAAAGAAATCAAAGCATATCCCTTGTATTCTTCATAAACGTTTTTTACTTCCAAACATAATTAAAATGCAAAACTATGCAAACTTATTTTAGGTAGAATTAACAGCTTATACTTAATTACTTGATCGTGTCCCTTGGACTATAAACTAGTATTTTGGTAAGCTTTATTCTGTTACAGTGAAAAGAGATTTATTGCCCAACCTCATCAAAGCGGCCACAAAATCTGTTTAGAAAAAGTCATAAAGTCAAAAATTCATGTGGGCTAATGACCTTCTAGTCGGTACCGAAATATCCTGGTGGTTCCCAAATATCCTGCCACTACAGTCAGGATTAATCGGAATGGTTCCAAAAAATCCTGCCACCAGGGCCAGGAATGGTTCCCATTCGTCCGGTTCCGAAATATCTTGTGACACCGGGCTGATAGAAAGAACGAAATACTCTATGAAAATTCTCCCAACACGAGAATTAAGCTCGGGTCTTCTGCTTGCAAATGCGAGTCGCCTAACGTCTACATTGCTGGCACGGGTAAAAAAAGAAGAAGAAGAAGAAGAAGAAGAAGAAGAAGAAGAAGAAGAAGAAGAAGAAGAAGAAGAAGAAGAAGAAGAAGAAGAAGAAGAG